TATGGCATAGTTGGCATATTGAAGAGAGAGAGGAAAGCGCTTCTTTCAAGAAAATTACCATATAAGAAAATTTTCAAGAAATCAGTGGTGAATGGGTGAGAGTTTTTTTTTTTTGAAAAGTAAATTTTTTTCAAAAACTTTTATTTTTAATTTCAAAATATTTAATCAACAAAAATCTTAATAATAGCATTTTTAATTAAAGATTTAATTTAAATTCTTATTAAATATTAAAATTTTTTATTTATAATCATTATTTAATATATTAAAGCCTGTTAAATATAAGAAAAGGTACTTTAAAAAAAAATAAAATAAAAAATAAAAAAAACAGTAAAATATTAAATCAAAAAAATATAAATATAAAGACTTGAACAAGAAAATTTAATTTAGATTTATGAATTATTTAATATAAAAAAAAACAATGTCTTTAAAAATTTTTTTATTATTATGTAATTTAATATGCACGATATTTATTATTTCCTGTAGTAAAACAAGCACGCTATATTGTACAAATACATGATTATTACAAATATTACAAATTGAGCGTAAGATCGATAGCCTTTTGCCAGCCAGTTAAAATATTGTACATACAGGTATGTACAGTATATATACACTCATAAATTTAATTATTCCAATCGGAACTACCTTACTGGTAACGCACAAAAAAAAATAACCACTCCAGTTCTTGCTGAAAAACAATGTCCAAAATAAAACGCGTCGTACATCCCCAATTTCATAATTATGACATGTTTTGGCGTTTCCGACACTTACCAAATATGGTAGCGTCACAACATTTATTGTTAACGCATACTGCAAAGCGTACACATCAATCAAAACATTTTCGTCTCAACAGCCCCTTAAACAAGAGTGAATTTGCATCAAACACAACATGGACAAAACCTTTCTCATCGAGATCAGTTGTGTTAATGGGCGTTGGGAGTTGTTTGGGTACTAATATATTTCATGAACATATGTTATTAGTCGGGAAACGACATATTAGCGCGGAGGTTACTGATGTGCGATAACCACTTTTAGTAAATTAATGACAATATTATTACTTGATAAAAATGCTGTCGGTCATACTACGCGTGACTATGATCAGATTATAATTCGCTTTGTAAGCTTTTCAGGTGCAAAATAACGAGACTTTTATTGACTGAAGCTTACGTATTGAATATTTTGACAGGGTAAGTCTATCATTGAAAAAATCACCAAAAAAATTTATGGGATATATAAAAAGGTCTAGAAAATATTTTTTGACTTAACTAAACAAAATTTCTTTTTTCACAAGATATTTTAAATCCATAAACGCGACACGTCCTTTATACACACATAAAATAATAATGGGTAAAGCTACCACCACCTCGACTACGAAGTCCAAAACTAGGTCCGAAAAAAAAGATACTTCCGAAAAGAGCGCCACCGAGAAAAGCGCCGCCGAAAAAGGTGAAAAAGGTAAAAGGAAAATTCACGTCTTTACTTTGCACCGTTAGACATACTTGAACGTATTTGTTTACCTTCCTCCTTATCACCTTAGCCGAGAAAGTCATCAGGCCATATAATAGGTTTATGCAGACAGAACTTCCGAAAGTGAAGGCCGAAAATCCAGAGATGGACCATAAAACTGCTTTTAAAAGAGTCGCTGAACTTTGGAAAACCTCGTGAGTACCAAGGAGTGATCATCCTCCGCGTCGTTCATTTCTTGGCTTGGTTAGTTTACTTATCGTAATTTTTTCTTCGTTAGGCCTGATAATCCTAAGAATCAGAATCAAAACCAAGATAAAGACAAAGATCAATAATTTTACTCTACCATTGAAATCTTAATATTTGATTACGCGATTTTAAAAAATTTAATTGTAATGATCTGGTGTATTTCGGTCTTGCGTAGGCGTCGAGGAAAGCCATGTAATTAAATAAACAGTTTACCATTTATTGCCAAGTAAAATATCATTCCTTGCTTTTTTTTTTTTCGGTCGCTACTCCCCATTCGAATACTTGTCTTCACGAGTCACCGAATTTTTCATGTGAAATTCATCCTATATTCGCGTAAATAAATAATAAATAAATGTGAATCGTGGGAAAGCGTCGACGACGTAAAATACGCAGTTGATGGATTTAGCATTTATGAAATTGTAAAGCTAAATGAATATAACTTTAATTTTACTTACATTTGAGTCAAAATTCTAGAAACGCAATGAGAAATAAGCTTACAATTGATTTAATACGCATAGATTAAGCTATTTAAAAAATGATTTCAAGAGAAATAAGGAATAATTGGTAAGATAATATATCTTTGACTTTATTACTAATCGCTCTTTAAGGAAAGCGAAAAAAAGGAGTTCGATAGATCTGCTTGACGGTCAACAGAGGTGACGTTACGCAAAAAACAAATTTGGTTGAAGTTTTTTCAAAATTTTCACGGTATTAACGCTCACGATTTTTATAATGTTAGTGTCCGGAAATCAGTCAAAGAATGTGATGATACAGTATTGCTATCGAAAACTTATTAGCCAAGAGCATCCAGCAAGATTGTTGAGGAATTTTATTCCAAGTACTGATTGGCTATTAGTTCGACACAATACTTTAAATATACTGTATGTTTTAATTGTAATAAGTAATGTTAAAAGCCAAGTAGAATAATGACATCGAACGCCTGGTAAATGGGTAAAGTGTCTTTTACCGTATGTCACGTGATTAATTAAAGAACCGGTTTTTTTTTTTAGCTAACCAAAACCAAATCAATCACACTTTTTTCAACCTCATTTACGGTCGATTTTCGGCGTTCTTTTCAGCTAGTCTTTGATCATTACGTACATGCGGTAGTCTGGATTTTAAATCTCATATTCATACAATTACAGGCTTTTTGATGATCATGATCCTGGACCACATAGTAGAATGAGCTCTCATAAACGTGTCGAAAAGTAAACAATGCATTCGACAAAGAAATTTTCCAAATAAGGTTTGATGTCTACTTGAAAATTTAAATTTTTATTAAATGCATGGGATTTGATTAGTACCTCATCCTTTGCATCTTTATTTTGTCTCTCTCGACCCACTTTCGGCAATCAGTTATTCTCAAGAAAAAACAATGTCTGAAATAGCTCGATTAGCTCTGCTCGACACGGACTTATTACACATAATTTTTGACAATTTTAAGAGGCAAGATGATATGTTTATTTCTTTACTGGTTCATCCTGTGTGGACTCAGGTATGAAATTCATCTTTGGGGAATCTTCATATTCCCCGTGAACTTTGCTCTTCTGATATTTGCGAAAAATGAATGTTAAACTTCCTTGAAATAAAGATCCTGATAAGAAAACTATGGAAGGAACCCGTGTGGAAATCTCCAAGTTCATATCAGAAATTTTTGAAAACCCTACGATCCTCATCTCCTTTCTTTCCTTATGCCGAGATGGTTCGTCATCTAAATTTTGTCCCGCTCCCGTACCGTCCTCACCCGTTATTCACTCAAAAAGACATTCGATTCATCGCCGACAGATGTAAATGCCTGACAAAACTTCGTGTCGGTTGGATGATGGATCCCTTCGATTCATATACGTTCTGCAAGTTTCTTGTTAATTCTCCAAATCTGGCTTCCATATCTTGCCCAGATTGTACCATGGAATGGCTCGCGAAGGCGTTAGGTCCCGCGATGAGTGGACATTGTAAAAATCTGAGGCACCTCGAAGTGAAAAATTGGGTTCATGAATCAAGTGAAACTTGTGCTCTGTTAGAAAGAGTGGCCGGAAATTGTGGTGGAATTATATCGCTGTACGCTCATCTTCTTGTCACCGAGGAGATCGCCTTGATGCTAGTCAAGTCATTTCCCAATCTCAAGTATTTCAGGTGTCACTCTGTAACGAGTTCTGGATTGGTCATACTGATAAGAGGATTTCAAAAGCTAAAAGGTTTGCGTCTAACACTTGACAAAGATATTCAAGATCAAAAAAATGATACCGAGCTGGTGGAAATCGGAAAAAAGTTTCCCCTGTTGGACTCCTTCCAGCTTTCCATTGGAAATGATAAATTTCCCCCATTTGCCTTAACCTGGATTCAAAATCAACATCACCTTCAGCATCTAGAATTGTCATTATGTGATGGTTTGACCGACGACTCATTCATATTCATAGTCAAACATTGTAGTAACTTGGAATCAATTCAACTCAAGTGGTGCAGTCGCCTGACTGTTCTTTCTTACAAGGCGTTGGCGCAATATCGAAACACGAGGTTGCGGCAACTTCGCGTACTCCGATCTGGACTGAATGACATCGGTTTGGCAAAAATAGCAAGACACTGTTCAAGATTATCAAAATTGAACATAGATCAATGCCCGGAAGTCACTAGGGAGTCGTTGATGATGATCGTAAAGAACTGCAGGGAACTTGTAAAATTAACGGGAGGCCTTTCTCGGCAAACTCTCGCATCGTTAGGACGTTCCTTGAGTTCTCACGGGCCCGGGAATTTGCAGGTCTTGAAATTGAGGGATCCATTATATAGAGGTTCGGAAAAAAACATTACATCCAACAGCAATTTTGATAATTTTGATGGAAAATTGTTAGGCCAATTGGCATGCAATTATCCCCAACTGAGGAAATTGGTGATCAGATGTACGATTACCGAATTGCTTCCAGATGTAAGTATGGTGCCTGCTCGATATTTATCTCTTTTCTTAAAGTCTCATCACGCTATTTCCACCAATTATAATGCAGAAACTCGTTCAGATAATACTTTCCCTGCGAAATCTTGAAGAGCTTTTTATCACTCCCTGTGAACCGCTAGATGTCGAACACATAATGAAACTGGAGCTACATCCAAAGTTGAAAGAGATCATGTTACTAGGAGGGTGTAGCGGTGATGCCGAAAGGTACATCGAGCAACATCGGAACGGTTTGAAAATGTTTATCAAGGTCATTAAGCATGATTATAAGATGTATACTATAAAATGATTCATAGAAACCTTAGATTCATCATTATTTTTTAAATACTTATAACCATTCGATTTTTTTTTCCATTTAAAATTAATAATACAAGGCCTTGTTGTAAATCACGTGACATTACTTTCATGTGGCTATGTTTAAACGTGGCTTAGAGAAAATTAATATGAACCTAGTTAAAGCCTTGATGAAGTCAAGAAATTCCGCTTGTGTGATTGTGATCTGCTTTTATATAAGGGCGTATAAATGGCTTTGGAATTAAAATTTTAAAACTTAATATTGCTGAAACGAGACGCTTGTTCGTTAGGTTTAACGTAATGTAGGTTTCTCTGGCTCGCTTTATCTATTAAAGTTTTGTGATAGCCTTGAGATGAAAAGTTAAGAATTTATCTAGCGATTTCCGATAGATCGAAATTCAGTTCATCACAGAAATTTGAGATAAAAGGAATCCATTAGATCGAAAAATCCAACCCAGACCTTTTCAACGGAAACTTCACGATAAACCAAAATAAAATACAAGATGACAAGTCGACCATCGTCGCAATCCGGTTACACGGTTATCCTCATTGATAACGCTATGTTACCACCTCCCCCGCCTCCCAGCAACTGGTAACATCCTTGGTGTTGATTAAATTTTTGCTTGAATTATGCCGAACTCATTTGAATAATTATTTTCTACGATCAAAACAGGCCAAAATGTTATCCCATCGTTTATCACAATATTGAAGCAGATTTCACAAATGAGGATTTTAAAAAGAAACTAAGAAGATCATATTTTCTTTTTAAATGTGAGTCCATAATGTATTTCGTTATCAAAAAAAAAAATAATTTTCTTTGAGTCAACTTGTTCATTGAAAACTGCGTTTCTATCTTCTTTTCCTTTGTCGTTCATGCCATTTTTAACGCATAACACATCTCTCCCCGCAACCTACTCTCGAAAGTCTACTTCGTAACTTTACTCGCTAACTCAATCGCTGATATAGCAATTTCGATCACGTACCTAAACGGGGCACAGATTGTCTTTCAAATCATTGCCTCGGCTTTGTACTTATTTCTGATGCCTATCGGCGATTTTTTTTTACGACACATGAGCCTTTATTTTGGTTACAAGTAAGTACGAAAACCAAATTGAATTATTTATTTGTTTGTTTTTAAAAAGAGACATAAATACATATACCTATATATCTTTTAACACAAACTTTATATTTTCGAAAATTTTTTACCTTGAAAAATAAAAGGATGAATAGCGAAATGATGTTTCGATACTATTTCCTCGGTGAATCAATTGTAATTATGTTCGGAATATTCATCGGTATCGGATTTATAAATGATGGTAGCAGTGGCACGCTGGGAGCCGTGAAGTTATTTGAACGCGGGTATTACGTTGCCGGAGTTTTCACTGGCATATTCTTGATATTCGACGTGGTTCAGACCATTTTACACATCATATTAACTGCACAGGTCTGTCCGTTTGTTTGTTCTTTGAGGTGGTAACTGAATTCTTGCTGAATCGTTCTATTTTCTTTTTTTCTTTCCATCCAGGTTTATAAACACTTTAGAAGCCAAAATTTCAAGATTTGTTGCTGCTGATGTTTTGTTAGCTCGGTAGTTTTGTGTAACGCCTCAAAATATTATTTCGATTTTTCCCAGGATAAATGATTGGACCATATACCATATTAATTCGTTCATGTGGGTTGACTGTTCGAAGAACATGATATTGGTTGTTTTTTTAATCAATTCGTCGATAAAAGATATAAAAAAGAGAAATACAACATGTTAAATTTTATTAATAAATTTTAAACTAGCATCTCCAAAAATTATTCTTGTTTACATTTCCGACACTGATAAAAAGAATATGCACAACACATAACATACGTATACATTTGCGAAGTTTTGATACGTGGATTGAATGAAACGATGAAAATTTAAAAACCATAACAATAACTTAGTATAAAATTCTATTAAAAAAAAAAAAATACAATTTAAACTATTCTATCTAAGTTTAATTATTAAAATAAAATTTCATAAGTAAGAAAGTATAAACTTTATAAAACATGTGTATAAAATATAATTATAAATATAACCAATGTAACAAATAGTTAAAATTTTATAAAAACCTTTTATCGAATATTTGGCAATTTATTTTGCATTGAATTTATATACTGTATATATACAGTTTGTTTAAAAATCTTTGAACACATATTTTTTATAATAAATAATTATTTATTTATGTATTTATTATCAAAACTTTAAATATATAGTTGTAATCATAAATAACTTGTACTGTACATAGTCAAATTAATTAAAAATAAATAAATAATTTTTTTTAGAAATGTTAGGACAAATAGTTTATTACAATTCTAGATCCTCTAAATTTTTCCAGGTTTTTGTAATTATTAGAACAAAATTTAAATGAGAATTAAATTTTAATGATTTTTTTTTATCAGATTTTTTAATTTGAAAATTATTAAAAAATAATCCATATATCAATAATTTATATAACCATAAATTCTTAAAAAATTATATGTTAAAATTTAGGTCTTTTTATATTATTGACAAAAAATTTAACATATTTTAATAAAACAGTTGTCAAAAAAATTATTTTTTAAATTTTAAATTTGCTTAATTTAAAAAATAACTTTAAAATACAATTTTTATCAATTTTACTATATAATTTATTGATTAATTAATTTGATTATATACAAGTTACTTATGGTTACAACTGTATATTTTTTTGAATATAAAAAATAAATATTAAATTTTTTTTAATACTTTATTAATAAATTTATCTTATAAATTTTTATATTTAAATTGATATAAAAAAAATTATAATTCAAAATTTATTTTTTACTATATTTAAAAAAATTTTTTTTAAAAAAAACTAATTATAAAAATAAATTTAAGATATATTTATTAATAAGTATTAAAATAAACTTAAAATGTTTTATTTTTTATATTTTAAAAAATATATGCTTAAAATTTTATGTTAAATATATAAATATTTATTTATTTATTATAAAATGATTGTTCCATGACTTTTTAGACAAATTGTATATTGAATCTCTATAATATAATAATTAATTCAAAAAACTTTGCTGCTAACAATATTAATTCACTGAAAATAAATAAACAATCAATTATTATTATTATTATTCTAATAAATAATTATGTTCCAAGGTTCCATTTGATACCAGATCTTATACTGTATTAATTACAGGTGAATTACAATCCACATTTATTATATGGTATACGTGAGCCTATGCGAATCTATGCAATTCCGTTTTCAGGACTATAAATATGTCTCTTTAAAATAAAGTATAAATAAATGTTTTCTTCGAAAATGATTTAATTTACTTGTGAAATTTATAAATTAAATAATTTTGAAATGGCATGATATTACAGTAATTGCAATCCCTGACAGAAATTTTTACTAGATATTGAAATTAATTTCGAAGCCTTCTTGTACAGATTTATAGTTAATATCTGCGTATTATAGAATTTAATCGTTAATTAACTCGTTATAGCATTATTTATAACATTATAAGTTTATATACCTTCAGACGACTTTTCACCTTCTTTAACAAATAAAGATTTCCATGTTAATTTTATTAAATTGAAATGATTTAAATTACATAAATACATACCTTGTAGGGTACATTTTTGAATCATGGAACCTAAAAATCTACTTGTATAATACACCCCGGAGTTAAAGACATCAATATTCTCTTTGGCTTTTTCCTCTTCTACTAAATCTTTTCGATATTTCTCAGCAGAAATAAAGCTCTCTTCATCCTCTTTACCTTGATGCCATTTATTAAGCTGTCGTCTAATTTCCCTCATACTTGGTCGATTATCTGGATTATTACTCCAACATTTTTTTATCAAATTTTCAAAAACCGGTGGTGTATCTTTTGTAAATTTGGGTCGTAATCCATTAATAATATCTTGCATAAGAGAAACATCATGAACCCTATATATAAATGGCCGTTGACCTGATGTGAATTCCCACATGAGCATTCCAAAACTATACACGTCGGATGCTTGAGTAAACCGATATTCTTTAAAAACCTCGGGTGCTAAATAAGACATCACTCCACATATATCTTCACAATTAGAAGTCGACTTAATTTTGCATAAACCCAAATCAGCTATTCTAATGGAACCCGAGACACCATTTATTCCTAATAAAATGTTTCCCGAATGAATGTCACAATGAATTAATGCACTATTATGAATTTTTTCAAACCTACATAATAAATATCGTTAATTCCAATCTAATAAAATAATGATTAGCTCGGAACGTATTTTCCGTAGATACCCACCCTTTAGCGATATAACTCAACATTTCGACCTTTTCTTTCCATGTAATTTTATCAAAATATTTAGATAAGTATTGATGCATACTTCCATCTTCTGCATATTCCAATACCATCATATAGACATTTGTAATTGGATCTTTTGTAAAACCTAAGCACCGAATAATAAATCTATCTAGACTTCTATCTAATAATATGTTAGTAAATAGCTAAGCAAAACAAATTATTTATGTTAAAAATGCTATTTAAAATAAAAAAGCCAATGTAACTAACGTCAATTGAACTCACTTCTTTTAAAAAATCCATGGTAATATTCCCGGAACTATGTAAACTTTTAAGGACTACTTTGAGACTCACTCCAATTTCTTGAATTAAATCTGCTTTGAATATTTTCCCAAAACCTCCTTGCGTCAAGTAGTTAACGTTTTGAATTTGTGAATACGAAATCCATTTTTTTCCATTTTCGGTGGATTTTAGATAACATTGGAATGCTTTCTCTTCGTTTTTAGGCGTTCCAATTCCATATTCATAACAGTTTCCAAGGTTGTATAAACCAATATCTTCTCCGCCTGATGATGATTTCAAATACCATTGAAATGCTTTCTCTTCATCTTTCGTAGTTCCAATTCCATTCTCATAACAAAGTCCCAGATTAGATTGCCCCATAGAATTTCCAGCTTCAGCAGATTTCAGATACCAATGAAATGCTTTTTCTTCGTCCTTCGTAGTTCCAATTCCTTTCTCATAAAAAAGTCCCAGATTATGTTGTCCATAATTATTTCCAGCTTCAGCAGATTTTAGATACCAATAAAATGCTTTCTTTTCGTCTTTCGTAGTTCCAATCCCATTATAATAACAATATCCAAGATTATTTTGCCCCATAGAATTTCCACCTTCAGCAGATTTCAGATACCAATGAAATGCTTTTTCTTCGTCCTTCGTAGTTCCAATTCCTTTCCCATAACAACATCCAAGATTATTTTGCCCCATAGAATTTCCACCTTCAGCAGATTTCAGATACCAATGAAATGCTTTCTCTTCGTCTTTCGTAGTTCCAATTCCATTCTCATAACAAAGTCCCAGATTAAATTGCCTCATAGAATTTCCACCTTCAGCAGATTTCAGATACCAATGAAAATTTTTCTCTTCCGTCTTTCGTAGTTCCATTCTGAGTAAAATAAACGATTACGTCAATTGTTTTTTTTTCAATAATTAAATGATTTCATAAATTCATTAAATATTATGAGAATTTATAACAAATTTATTCAAATTTAATTAAGGTTACCCGTAATTTATCTGTCACAAGGAGAGACTTTATTTTTTTATAGAATGAGCGCATTAATTATATCCAAACCTTTGTTTATTCATATACTTTATATTATACCGCATTTTATATCGTTTTACTAAATATAGGAATACAGGTAGTGTTACATGAGTTAAATGGATCAGATTGGCAGATATATTATTCTTATATCGATATTTTAATATTAATAATTCTTTGAAGAATTTTATAAAGAATTAACATCACTTGTTTTTAATATTTAAATTTAATTTAATAATCAAAAAATACATCAATAATTGTTAATATCAATTTATTATTATTATTATTATTTAATTTCTATTATTTATAAAATACTGTAATTAATATGAATATAATTTGAAAGTTGAAAATCATATAGACAGCATATGAATAATACAAATTATTAAAGTTAAATATTTTAAAAATGTATTAAATTAATTATATATTTTGATTAAAAATAATAACAATTTAATTAATAAAAAAATTATAAAATATTTTTTACCCTGAACAATCTGGTTTAAAAACTTCACTAATAATAGCAACCTAATTGGATCTCGCAGATCTATGCCAAATCCAAATATAATATTCTGGTTCTTATATACTATAAACTCCTTTGTCAAAACTTATAAAAAACATTATCATATTCAAGAAAACATGCTCCTTAAAAGAAAACACTATACTACTAATCTCAATAACAATTTTATTAAATGTTTTAATTATCCTTTAAATCTTTTTCTTAACAATTCTTACTCAATAACCTTCTCAAGTATCAATGCTTTCTTACTTTAAACAATCAACAAAATCTTATCCAATATCAAGCATTGCCTCTGCAACATTATTAAAAAACTAATAAACTTATTATCAAAAAATGAAACTATTTTCTAAGCAATCAATATTTTATCTCTTATATTACCTCTCTCTTTACTACAATTGATAGGTCATTGCAATCTATACTATATTCAACTTTCAAAATAAGACTTAATTGTTAATAATATCAAAATTACAATGTTCAACCCAGAACTTCCAATTGAAAATATTCTGCATCAAGATTGCCTATGAAACTTCCAGATTACAATATCTCATTTTTGATAGTTGTGAGGATTTTTTTTATGATTCGATTGCCAATTCTTTAAAACTATAGCCTAATATAAGGTATTTCAAATTTGATTTAAACTCAACTAAAAAGGGATCCTTAGGTAAATAAATTTATATTGAGGACAGAATACTTTGTGAAATTGCTAATTGAAATCTGGAACATCTAAGTTTTGGTTCTTCTAAACTCTCTGATAAATCTTTAAGCAAAATTATTAATTCATGTCCAAATTCAACTATTTTAGTCTAGAACATATTAAATATATCACTAATATATCTATGCTTGATATTATACATTCCTGTCCCAAATTACGTTATCTTAGTTTGTGGTATTGCAGTATTACAGATGAGATATTAAAAGCAGTAATGTATTTCTGTTCCAGACTCCAATATTTGAGCTTGATATTTTGTGCGGAGATATCTGATGTGGGGGTTTGTACGATTGCTACTTCGTGCTGAAACATTATAAATCTTTCTTTTAAGAGTTGCAACATGAGTAATATATCAGTTAAAAAAATTACACAATTATGTCCAGGACTCCAATACCTCAATCTTGATTGGTACTATATAACCAACAAGTTTATCTGTGAAATAGCAAGATTATATCCAAGACTAGAAGTTTTACTTCTTCTAAATTGCTTTATTACTGATATATCAATCCATAAAATTATTCAATTTTGTAAAAACCTGCATAATCTCGATCTTAAAAAATGTGACTCTATTACTGATAAAGCAATCGGTGCCCTTATGAGTAGCAATCCACGCAATGATATTAAATAGTCTTAAGTGATTTATTATGTCGCATTTATTAGACTGGCTATTACATAGAATAAAAAATTGGATAGATATATATAACAATAAGGATCAATATTTTTTAATATAATAATTAGTATCATCGGAATGAAAATAGAAAAACTTGATTCAGTTGAGAAAATTGTTTTGAATATTGATGAATACAAAAATATAGAGTGATTTAATGGCCTTAATAGTACACTTCAATGGCCTTTCAACTTATTAGTTAGTGGACGAACAAGATCAGAAAAAACTAACGAAGTTAACAACTTTTTACTTGGAAATAAAATATATCGATTGTTTAGTGGAAAAAAAGATAGAACAAGATATATTAAGAATGATAATTTGGTTTTGATCGATTATCAAATTAATCTTTATTTTACAAGCTACCAATATAAAAATATACGTTGTCTCAGTAAACTGACTCTAAGATACAGAGTAATCTACATCATGACTTTTTATAACACAAAACCCACATAATTTCAAGCAAGCAACTATAATCTATAACTGCAAAATCCTAACCATACTGGCTTCATTATTACCCAATAAAATTGAATTACAAATCATACATACCTATCAAAATGTTCTTGATTACTTTTGATTTTTTACTGCTTGTCAGCTTCATGCTAATTCAAATGATATTTCTATACATTATAATCAGATACAATTCTGGAAACATTGAAAAGCAATTCGACATGAAAATGACTTCCTTCCTCAAAAAACAACAAAAAATTATCTTTGGTTTATTTGAAATTATAAAACATCTTGATTATAACATTCACGAAGTTCAATATAGGTCACAAGAAGTAGTAATTCCAGATCTGGCATATCAAAAATGCCTCAAAATTATACTGGCACTATTTCCAATCTCTGAAAAGACATTGATATCCTGTTCAAAAAAAAGAAAACACACAAAAAGCAGTCTATGGCAAGGTTGTATCCAAAGGTGGCTGAGGAAATCTGGAAACTTGCCATTAATCATAAAAGGAAATAACGATCAGTGATGCCACCATTAGAAATTTTTATAAAAAATTGACTAAAAATCTGAAAGAAGATACATTGGATTCAGTACAGGCTTATTCGTAATAAAAAGAAAAATAAATTTTAGTCGTGTTAGTTTTATTATTAATTAGACTCGTGATTTTTTAACAATCTGATTAATTTATAATTATAACACAATCACTAGCCTGATAAATTCCATTTGTTATTGTTGCTTTGCCTCATGGAAAAAATTATTATATAAATACTCAGCAGTATTTTCCTTAGCTCGCAACTGACGTATTCCTTTGTTTGAACTTTAGCAATATCAGTAAAGCAAGCGCTACCAATGTATGAGTAAATAAGTGTAACTAGTATTTTTCTAATCTTTTAGTTAATTTTCAAAGCTATTCTTTAGCGAAACCCATTAATATTGTTCCAAAAAGAATGTCAAAGTACTATTATTATCAAACCATGTAGTGGAAAAAAGGCGACTTCAATCTAAAAGCAAATTGAGAAGAAGCAATATAAGTTCCTTTCTTACTTCTTATTAATATTGACTGAATATTTTTATGATCTGTGAGATAAAAGCCAATTTTTGCTATTCGGATCAAGACTTTCATATAAACTTGCAGTTGGTGTCACCTTGGAAGAATATGAAGAGCGTTTGGATAAGTTTAACATCTGTGAATATTCGGAATGGATTAATGGTGATGTTATAGTTTATGAACTTCCGTCAAAGCCACACTCAGTTCTTATTGCTGCGATTACTTCAGAAATAATAAAAAAATGCCTTCTTGTTAAACGAACCGATGGCCATATTATAGGTCTTGGCACAATTCATAAATATCAATTCATTAACTATCCCAGCCTTATGTTTGTGATATCAAACGAATCTTTGTTCTTCTTAAGGAACTTGTGCCAATGATTCTAAGAAAGAAGGGAATGCATGCTTCCACCCTAAAAAGCTATGAATGCAACAACCAAATGGAAGTGATGGACAGGTACCTTCTTTTATTGATTCGGAATTCTTGAAAACTAAGATTTCATAATTTCATAATTTCAGGATGAGCCCTGGCCTAATCTTATTATTGAAGTGGCATATTCTAAAAATGAATCATATATTCTTGAAAAAGTAAAAGATTTCTGGCTACGCAATTGGAGTCATGCCCAAAACGTGATAGTGGTTAAGATTGATAAACCATTTGAAGCAAAGCATGCTCCTTTATGGATACAAGTAAGTTAAATTGTTAAAATACACATGACATTTCATTGTTTATTTGTCATTTTAAATAATTTAACCTACCAGGCATGATACTTTTGTACTAGGGACAGACCCAGAAGAACAGCTGATATCTGGCTTTGGACTTATGTAATGTCATAAACAAAGAATAATTATCTTTTTTATCAATGTATTAAATTTCTTACCTGATATTTAATTGTTAGTTTAAATTTGGTACCCATAACAAATATGGAAATCTGACAAATATTCAACCAGGCCAATATGTCATCAACATTTCCTTGGATTGTTTATATCACGATGTGTATCTTGAAGCTACAATTCACTGACAACTTTTTCCTAATCCAATTGTACTGGATTTCTTGACAATTTGGAACCAATTCTTTTTGTGTATGAATAAAAGAAAGGAGTAAATGATATGATGATTATGGACTGTATCTGACTTTAAAATTTATTTTTTATCACTAAACAATGAAATTTTTTATGCATGATGAGTATATTATAATTTATTTGGGGTTGTCTCCGAAATGCACAAATCCGAGACACGAAGGAGCATAAATAGTCTAATAAACTTATAAAAAATATTTCTACTATGTAAATATATAAATCATAATCACATGTTAGTCACAGTCATATATTTTTCTACTGTGGAACAATAGACTTTGCCTTGGCAAAAGTGAATGCCATTCTGAAATGAAACCTGGAATCATTCAGATTTTCTTACTGAGAAAATAGAACTTTTCTCGGCAAAAGTGCTCGGTGTGATGTGTTTTTTCAATTTTCAGAAATTTTTGATCACATAATTTGAACGAACAATATTCACTGAAATTTTCAGAATAATTCAGGTTTTTTTTAAGAAAGCAGAATTTTTGTGTAACTCTAATCATCCCCGAGTGAACGGTTCGGCATTTCATCTGGCATATATGAGTTGAGATTATATTTTTTTGTTATTTCACTATTATACAGTATATTATGTGTCAGATACACTAGCTCTGCTATAAACATTTTGAATAATTCTATATCTTATAAAAAAAGTTATCATTGAATATGCAATTTGAAATTGATTTATTGAGACAGCAAGTTGCCAGGCTTGAGGTTGAGAATACGAAATTGAGACAGGTTATAGAGGAGAATACCAAATGTAAAGCTGAGAATACTGAGCTTAAAGCTGAAGTATTAAAATTAAGACACGATTTTGAGAAGCTTAAATGGCAAACCCGAGTTATTACTAGTACACAAAATATGCCTTCTTTTGTAGAGCAAAGCCATTTACATAAAACAGAAAATATTTCGCACTCTCCAACCAGTTTACCATTACCAGTAACTCCAATTATCTATTCCGCCATCTAATAAGGACTATTACTTTGATAGAAAAGATAATATCAGTATAAGTCGGCGAAAAGCTAAGCCCAAGTCATTGGAAGAAAAGGAAGAAGATGAATTTCTGAATACAATACATAAGGCACAGGTTAGTAAAGAAATAATTCAGAGCATTAAGGAGAAGAAACTTTGAGATCAAGAGTTGCTCTCAACTCTTGAGAATAATACTTCATATATTTTACATAAGCAAGGTTTTATACAAGAGATATTGTCATATATTAGCAGAGCTGGCATGGCCAAAAAACAGGTACAAAGTGTCATTTTTCCTGAAATAAATTATGCAAATAAAATGTTTAGATCATATATTAATACTTACAAAGTAATTACCTTTAACAATTCTTAATTGGTTTTTTTTTTATTTATAGTTTTGTATTTTAATAATAAAAGTCTGTTATGAATATTAAGCCTGGTAATGATTTTAATAGTGTTGAAATTATTTTTAACGAGTCTGTCACTTCCATCGCAGGCTCATGTCATGTTCACAGTAAGTTTGGTAAGGCTTCCTTGAGATATGTATTATCGACTTGACTGAAATAGAGTACTTTTCTAATTTTCTTTTCCTTCTCTTTCCGTCACTATGCTTCCTTGACGACCTTTCCACTTTCCTATTTCCCGGGGACCCTGGTGTCTTCTTTTTTCATGGTAAGTACTGGATTCAGGTAAGATTTAATTAGCTTTTCTCTTTTAAAACAATGTCTATTGCACAGCCTAAAAAGAAATATTTTATTTTGAAATGGTTTGTCTTTATTTCATACTCCTTTTCCCTAATTTTATTGGTTCTAATAAATTACCTGTTGCATACTTTTCTTGCTATTAGTTAATTAGATATCAAATAAATATCAGATAAGTGTTAAATAAGTGTTACGCTTTTTTACTTTGTCCTATCTATTTATTTATCTATAATCCTTATCTTTTCATTTGTTGTGATGTTATCCCCATAATTCATTTCTATAGACTATTCCAAACTTATAACAATTATAACTCTAATTTTAAACTTTACGCTTACTATGTTTACTTGTGATTAAGCCTTTGATTAGATGCAGTATGCAAAAATCACGTTTGCAGTCTAATTGGCTTAACTTTTATCCTTAACAATAGCTTTCTCACAATTTATGAATTTTTTTTTAAAGTTAAATTAATAGAATCTAGGCTAAAATCTGCAGGAGCATGCCATTCCTTTTTCAATAGTTTATTACCCGCTTTATTACTATCAATCTCTTGAGAAATTTGATTTAGTATCAAAGATTTGTCATTTTGAAATGCAGTAGCATAATTTACTTCAAGTTTATTTTTGACTTTGTGCATAGTAACCAGAATAATAAAATCTTCTCCATTGTAATGAATTTTTATTTTATCGTTACTCCAGTCTACAATATATTTTATATTTTTTAAGAAGTGAATTTGGAAATATTAATATTGATTTAGAAACTTGTACAACTACAAAATCTTTACATATAATAAAACCTAAAGAAAATGTTATTAACAAATTATAAGTAATATCAATAGATTCCATTGAAACAATAGTGACATCATTAAAATCATATTTTTTTTATCTATCTATTTTTTCACCTATATATTTAACAATATCTTCTAATATAATTGCAGGTTTGGTACCACTATCTAGTATTAATGCTAAAATTTTTAAGTATTTAATTTTAACTGATATAGTAGCAATACTAATTACTGGTTCTTTCTAATAGATAAAATCAATCTCCATAGAATCATTCAGCATCTTCTCTTTATTATCTGATTTAGATATTTTTGGAATTGGATTATGGTAATTTATAAAATTAGATTTTTTTGTAGATGAGAATATATAACTCAAAAAGTTATTTCTAAAGGATTTGGATGGATTTTTTATCTTGGCTTTAAGTTTTTCTATCTAATCTATGGAGGAAATACCATCAAACATATCTAATATTATTTTTTGGAAAGACTTATTAGTGGAGCTGGTATGGTCAATAACAGTTAATTTATTTTGAAATTTATCAGAAATAGAAGAATCCTTTTGTTTCTTTTTGTGGGATTTAGTTTTCTTTTTAGTCTTGGATTTCTTAGGTTTTACTTTTTTTTTGATTTAATGACATTGACAGCATTAATAATTTTCACAATGTTATCCTTGATAAAGTTATTCTCAGAATCAGATTCAGAGAAGATGTTCTTAGTATCAGATCTTGTTTCAAAATCAGATTCAGAATCGCTAGCAGAAGAATTGTTAGTGTTTGAATCTGAATCTAAGATAACTTTATTAATATTATCTTTCTTCTTAGATCTGCTCTTCTTTTTATTTTTCAGGTATTTAGAAGAATTTGATCAATGTCCAGTTCTATTACACTTCAAACACCTATACTTAAATAATTTCTTTACAACTTTATTAACCTGTTTAGCTATATGCAATTTTAATTGTCTTTGTGTAAGATTGACTAGTTTCTTATCAAAGTCAATTTTAATTCTCTTTATTTATGGTTTTGGAAATAATTTGGGCTTGGAGATGGAAATAAATTCTGAAACTTCTTCATTAATTTATTGTATAAATCTATCCATATTTGTATTCTGTAAAGTCTGATATATCCCAGTGGAATGTGGTCTATATTGAGGGACTAACTGTGTAATTTGCTAAGGTTGTTGAACCAGCATTTGTTAAAATTGAGAAGATATTATTATAGATTTTATAAAGCTTTCTATTTTGTCTTTACTTATACTTGTATTACTTGTTAGATAAGGATCTTTAGTATTAGCTATAGATTGTAAATGAGAGATAACTAAATAAGAATTGAAATCATATTGATCTAATATCATTTCAGCTTTCTGTCTTTCAATTTCTTCTAATTTTGATAGTAAAGTGGAAATTGGATATTTAAGACCAATATGTCTTACATCTATTTTATTATCAGGAGAAAGACCCTGGAAGAATTGCTGTCTAATCATTTCTTCCTAATTTAATTCTAAAAGTATTGAATAGGCAAGACCAACTATTTTTTTCAATTTGCATAAAAACAATCTATAGAATTGGTACCTTGAGTAATATTATAAAATATTACTTTTGATTTTTCAGCAGTTATTATGGAATAATTGGTTTTAAACCAATATAGTATCTGTCCAATGTGAATTTCTGAAGCTATAGTACAGTATTTTTACCTGTATTAGCATTAGAAGCATTAGGTGTTAATTCTGTTGGTTGACTACTGGATATCAACCAATTTTTATCAAAAATAATATATGCTGGCATCAATGATATTGCAATTGCATTATTGTTAACTGAAACTATATTTCTTATTTAAAGAGCTTTGCCTTGAAACTAATTAGCATTAATAGTACACAATGTATTATTGTTTGCCAATCCATTGATAATATTAAGATTAACCAAGTTAATATTATTATTAATATTTTGCAATTTTTAATTTTTATTCTTGAGATTAGTTTTATATTAATTTTTTGTATCATCTCTTAAACAAGTCTCAAAAAGTTCATGAATTCTTATTCTGGTTTGAGCATCTGCAAGTGGATCAAGTTCGGATACTTCATAATATTATGTAAAATCTCTAATCCATTCTTCAGGATTTTCTTCAATATTTCCATAAAATACAAGTAATAAATATCCTGCTATTCTTCTATATTGGTCATTTATAGGTTGATTATTCTGTAGTGCAAAAATTTGTTGATTCAAATTTAAAATTAATTGTTATGAATTACACTCTCTATTTTTCTACTTGATATGACTTACCTTCCAATCTTTAAATTTATTAAAATATTTATCAAAGAGCTGATCTCGATTATATTCTAATAATTCTTTATCAATCCTGCATTATTGTAGCTCCTGCTTTAGTCAAATTACAAGAGAAGGGTTATTTATCACCCAAAGAATAAACTTATTAGATTATTATTTTTTGATATAATAATTTGGTATTACTTATCTTAATCAATATGAAAATAGAAAAACTAGATCCTATTGAGAGAATAGTTTTAAATATCGATGAATATAATAATTCAAAAAGGTTTAACTCATTAAATAGTATACCCAATGACCTTTTAACTTATTAATTAGTAAGTAAACCAGATCAGAAAAAACTAATGAAGTTATTAATCTTTTACTTGAAAACAAGATATATTGATTGTTTAATGGGAAAAAGATGGAACAAAATATAAGAATAACAATTTAATTTTGATCAGACATTATATTAATAAGTTGAAATACAAATATCTGAAATATTGTTATAAAATAATTGTAAACAATCCAAAATCATATAATAAAGATATTATGTTCTGAGCAATAAAGCCTGATAAAATGTCAAAAATTAATGATTTTTTTTCTAAAAAAGAAACAGTAGTTATATTCAAAGATTTATATACTGAATTTAAAAAAATACAAGATAAAATTGCTTCGTATTTTAGTGAAGGGTATCATGTTAATATCAGTTCAATATATATAACATAAAGTTTTTTTGACTGTTATAAACTAATAAAAAAAAATCTTGATTATATTGTTTTTTTTAATAACAGTAGAACATATGACGAACTAGTTAATATTGCTTGATGATATATAAAAAAATAGTGCAATATTGTTAATATACTTGATAAAAATTTGCAAAATAGAGAATTTATTGTTATTGACTTGACTAAAACAAAAGAGGATTTGCTTTATATTTGCAAAGAATGGGATCAAATTTTGATATTGGATGAATGATCAAGGTTTGACATTCAAATAATTATTTTTCAGTTATAATTTCATTTTATTAAAATAAATATATTTTATCTGCCACTTACAGTGTATTAAAAAATTATTAGCAATTATATAATTAATTATTATGTAATAATAGCAAAAGCAAATTATATTAAATACTTTATTTAATAGCCTATAGATAAGAAATTTATTAAAAAAATTTTAATATGATATTCTTTCTTCATTATTCTCTATTACTAATTCATATCTTCATTTTATTGAACTTATTAAATTCTTTAACATATTATTTGAAATAAAATTCCATTCCTTGACTATGAAATCTTTTAATTCTGTTTGATTCTTTGACATTCTTTTCTTGATATTTCTTTTAATAATATTCTAAAGATTTTTGATGAAATTTAGGTCTAGACTGTTTGCTGGCCAATCCAAAAGCTCAAAAACATAATTATTAAGAAATGATTAAGCAAGATAGCTTTTATGCTTATGATTATTATCCTGTTGATATTTCTATTATCTTCCTACAATCTCTTTAACCTTGAGAATATGATTTTTTAAAATGCTTACATAAAACTTGATGTTTATAATATTTGTAAAACAAAAAAGGCTAGTTTTATCCTTTTTAAAAAAACCATCCTATGTAAATATTTTGATCTGATCTTTGGAAATCTATTATATCGGCCTTGCCTCTTATACCAATGTTCAACAATATTTCAAAGAAGCTGGAATGCCATTTCATTTATAAATACAATATATGAGGGTCTTTCAAAATCCTCTTCAATACTAAAGTTTTTAAGGCTGAGGCGTAATAATTTGGTCCGAGTATCCTGCTCTTTCTCTCTAAAATAAACTCAAATTCGTCCGTTAACAATGCGCATTCGTCTACTCAAACTATACCTAAGTTCCTGTTGTAGCAATG